TACAAGTTGGGGCTTGTTCCTCTATTTTTCACTTTTCACTGTCTGAAAATTCAGATCTAAAGATGTAAAAAGTGTTTTGAGAGCGAGGAACTTTTTAGAGGGTTCAGTTCTTACTTTGAAAAGTAGGTACCACAGATTTTAATCCATTGAACTTTTGTCACAAATATGTTTAAACATCATCAACATTCACATGCATAAATGTTTGGTCACTTTCACAACAGTAGCAGCATCTTTTTGATACACAAAAGCAGATCCTTGTGTTTTATTTCAGTTTGGAAATTCTTTGAAAAAAGAGCATACAGGCTGTCTCCATCTGAACCTATACCATCAAATCGTACAATGTTGTGAAGTCCAGACTGTTTTTTTATGTTTTTATTTATATATTTTTTCCACAATGAATTCCTCACTCTCCAGCCTGGCGCCCCATCTCCCATCAAGCCTCAAAAGCAGTAGTATAATAGGACCAAAGGGGTGGCTGGGAAATAAATTGTGTCCCGGGCTGGTAACCTAACAGCCATCATAAATAATGTAGACCTATTTGAAAGGGAAGATGGGGCATTAGGAGCTATTTACACTACGGGTGCCTTGCTATCGATCAGTGCACGCCATCCCATAGATAAGAATGCGATGATGTCATGGTTATTTATGGTGATTCCCGACGGTAAGGCTACAAAGGAGGTTCCGGGGTGACAGCCTCATCCGTCCTCCGGGTGAGCTCGTGGATGTGATGCGTTTTGGCGTTGATGGGGCAATCGGATGCCCAGTGGAAGAGCTGATATGGCTGTACCTGTAACAATAGGAACCCTGTGCGTGTAGATGAGTAGAAGTTTTGCGGTGTTTATCGGGTGGCGTGAGATGGACCAAAGGAGGTTAGAAGAACATGGAAGTGGATTTTTAGTGTCTTTGGCTGGGGGCGGCACGCTCGCTTCTCAGCAAGATGGTCTTGGGTTCCGGTACAAGGCCTTTCTGAGTGTCTGTGTAGGTTTTCCCGGCCAACCACTAAAAACATGTACATTTCGTGAAATCCTTCAGCTCTAATAGTTCTGACCAATATCTGGAGATGGGTCCCTACGACCACTGCTCCTGAGGCTAAAATACGGCGGTAGTATACTGAATCTTCACCTCAATACCCATTTCTGTTGGGTTTCTAGCCTTAGTGTTGGAAGTTGTACAGATAAGACTGGCCAGTATTAATCAATATCATAAATTAATCAAATCCAGCTTTATGATACCACCATCTACAAAAACATACTTAGCGTACCTGGTGGTTAGCAATAAGGAAATCCCATGGTATTTATTTATCATTGGATAGTTGTTTAGAAGAGACGATGCTGGCTGAGTGGTTATTAGGTTTGATCCCATGGAACTGTCTAAAATTTAGGTTTTTCGTTTAGTTGCAAGCTGACATTTACCTTATCCCCATTCCTAATCTTTACCAAATAAACGTTTCCTAACTATAACATTTCCTTCACCACCCAAAACATGCAACTGTATGAATGAGTGAGTGTACAATGGTGGTGGTCGGAGGGGTCGATGGCACCGGCTGCCTGCCTCACTTCTGTCATTGTGCCCCTGGGCAGCTGTTGCTACTCTTGGAGCTTACCACTACTATGTAAGTGACTGAATAGTGACTTCAGTGTGGCACTTCAACAGGCTTCAAAAAATGTCAAGCACTTTTACACGTTCAGACAAATGGTTTGTAAAGTCATGAACTATACCAGAAAATTCATGGAAGGTTAAAGTACATCTTCCAGGGGCTTGAAACATGTTTTAATGTTTGTAGCAATGGATATCAAATGTACTGCATTAAAGTTTACACTGCAGTCAAATTGGATTATTAAAGGGAATCAAAGATCTAAAAAAGTACCTGAAACAAACTTCTGGATTACTTCAGGGTCTTTGGATGAAGCATCATTGCAGTGAAACAAACACTTTTACTGTTCATCTTACTGCACTTTCCATTCTATGCATAGCAATAATTAACACACCATTAAAACAACAACGTGAAAAGTGCGCTGTGTTAACCTGGGAGCTCGGTATAGAGACTTTTGGCAGCCCGTGCAGTCATATGTGAATACTTACACAACACATACAGTCTGGATAGTCACCACTCATTTGCTCTAACTGCACTCATCAATTATAACAGGGCTGGGCTTTTTCTTGTTACCAAATGGAGCCGTGACAACATGTGCTAAACACCACTCAATCACATTAATGATAAGAGGCAGCAGTCACACCATGAAAGTAACAGGGAAATTCTAATGCGTGTTGAACAGGGAAAAGTGACTAATGTCATAATCATTGTAATATAATGGTGTATTATTCTTAACTTTAGTTCATATGTTTTGCCCATTCATACTAGAAAAGGAATTTGTTCATGACCATTGGTTAATTTAATGGAATTTGTGGATTCTAATAGATTTTTCTAAAGTAGGAAATGAGTTATGATGAGATTGTGTTGTCCAGGGTGCACAATATTGACTTTTACAATATTTTCAGTTCCATTAAGGCATGTTTTTAATTAAAAATACAACAACTTTAACATAAAAAAATACGAATCAAGGCTTCTTAAAACAGTTACAATATCCCCGTTTCCACCAGCCCTCCTTGGCCCTACTCTACTCTACCGCTTTCACCAGCCCTGTTTAACCGAAACCTGGTGCTATCCAGACCGAGTGTTCTAACTAATAGTGATTGGCTCATGTGCTGGAAGCCATGGTTACCAACAAATGTCCACGTATAATGGTTTGTTGTAGGTTGGTTGCTTAGGATGAAATACCATATACTAAAGCGTAATGAAAACACAACCAGGTAGAGTACAGCAGAGTAAAGTAGAGACAAGGTGGAAATGTAAAGAGGGCCATTGATTTTCTTTAAGTCAATTTGATAATCCCACTTATTTTGATTTGTTTTATAAGATAAGTGATATATGAGAACGTTACGAATACTTGTGACTGGAATGACTATGAATTTCAGGATTTCCAAACCCGAACGACCCCAGCCCCTTTCAGGTAGCTCCCCAAAGGATTTAGAAATGAACAATTCAAATAATACACTGACTATTTCACATTGATTTATTTATTATCATTATTTATTATGCACCTACTTTGTCACCAGTAACAAATATGTGATGATAAATGATAACTATACCTGATCAGCCAATATATCAAAATGTTTTCCCAAGGGCCGCTTAAAGGAGTAGCTCTCTGCGTTTATCATCCCGGGAAAGTAGCTCTCTGTGTAAAAAAGGTTGAAGACACCTGCTCTAAAGCCTACTTTCTGTTTGCTAAGTGTGATGGAGCAGTCTAGTATTGTGGTGAAAAGCCCATAAAGAATCCCATACTTTGCACCATGTGACCTGTTTAAACAATACCTTTTCATTTAAGATCTATTGCCAACCTCCCCAGCTTTAAGTCAGGATGTAGCAACACGCAGTACTGGAAATCACACTATTTCTCTGATTACTTTTTTTTAAAAGAATATGCAAATGAAGTTAAACTGACCAAAGCATGTTATGAATCCAAACAAGTCCTTATGGAGACTTTCCCTCTTGACACTTCTGCATATAAGACCTCCTCAGTAAACTCCATCGGTACACACTCAAACGAAATGAGCCGCCTTTGAGTTTGTGCACAACTTTTGCCTCAATAATAATTCATAAAACGCCAACGCAGATTAATGGCAGAATTTGAAGTCGCTGGAGAAACTCTGTATTTAAAGTTAGCGCAGATAAGATGGACATCAAACGGGCACATGGGTTTGCTTATTGGGGAAAAGCTGGGACTTGTTATCAGGAATGGGCAGGACTTTAGTCACGTTGTTGTGGCTGCCTTTCTTCTCCGCTGTTGAATGTGTTGATTGGGGGGTGGGAGGGGGGTAATATTATGGGATGTGTGCATGATGGAGTTTGAACCCCGCTGCTAAAGCAAAAGCTGGGGCCGCGAGCTGGAAGGGTGCCAACACTTCTGCACTAATATTCACAATAATGTCGCTGTGGGGCCATGCACGTGTGGACTTGTGCCAAGAGCTTCCAGCATTATAAACAACATGTATGAACTTTTTTTTATATATTTTGGATGAATTGGAGCTGGTGTATCTTTTGTTTTGGTTTCATAAATTCATTTTGCTGGTAAGTCTGAAACAGAAGTGATTATTTTGACTTTAAACATACATGAAAGTACCTGAAAATGTTCATAAAGTACTAGTGTTTTGAGAGGTATAGGAACTTGAGAAGAGAAATGACTCTGACTTATTGACATAAGTTGGTCCTCTGGTTTTATACCTGACCTAATTCAATACTTCTGACTGCAAATTTGAGAAAAGTGGAGGTGGGAGGGAGCATAATATTTGTATACTGACCAAACTAGACCAATCTCTGGCCCTCTGTTCTGGATATGTTTCGTTATTTTGTTCACCACATGCATTAGGTTCATATCCGCTTGTAATGTTATAAGACAATTTACTCCAGAAACCTCAACATTTTGGTTAAATTGACAAACGATTGGAAAACTCACACTACATTTCAGAACATTCCAAACAAGTATTTTTCATCCTATGTTTATATACGTGGCTTTTAAGCTTTTATATTATGAGCATTATCTCTGAATAATGGATATTTTGTTGTTTTGAAAAGTTAAATTGCAGTTTCTATGATTTTCCTTCAACTTACTTCATACATTTCAAATGCAGACAAAAATACAAAGCAAATGTATCCAGTATGAATAACCCCTTCCCTTATTTTTCACATTTCTCCCCGTATACAAAAGACAAAGCGCATGAGGGCACAGAGTTTCAAAGGACGGCCATCAGGAAAGCTGGTGTTTTCAGAACACAGTTGCATAATGTTATATGCTCCTATGGGCAAGACACTTCCTCCCATTGAAACACTCTCTGCCTGTCACACTATACAGCAATCCCACACACACAAAAAGCCCAATAAAAGCACAGTATAAGTTAATTATCAGGTGAAAAGCGATAACACATCCAAGCCTGTCTTCCATTCATGGCGTGCGCTCCTTCACCTGTACGTCTGCCGGCGGCCTGCCTGCACTCGCACAGTTCATGCACTTCTCTGACCCTACGCTGACCCGGCTGCATTGTGTCTCCCTGTTCCCAGTGAAAGGAGCTGCCACCCTCCTCCTCCTGCAGTGGAAGGGAGGTACCCACTCCTCATACCCCCCCCCCCCCCCCCCCCCCCCCCGCACCCCATCCGCTTTGTGTGCACTGGGAGCAGAAAGACGTGCGCGCCGTGCCAGGCTGCGGTTAGCATCATTAGCTTTCTGACTTGAGGAGTTAGGGTCAAGAAGTTCAGTTTTAAGTAGTAAGAGGTGGGGGAAAAGGAGGCAAAACCAAACTGGAGAAATTGGTTGTCTCATAAAGCAAAGTTAAAACAGGATAGTGTATGTATTATATTACGTTTCAACAATGCAACTGATTGTAAAAATGAATAAATGTGGTGTATTCATACATCAGCTGGAAAGAGTCTTCATGGAGTTGTATTCTAAACCCAATAATGTGTATTTAATGCATTATTTACGGTATGAAGCACACTTTTAGGACCTTTGAGGCATTTCTTTTTTCGGTCAAATACTGAAGACCGTACATCGCTTTTAAACGTTTGGGCGGCACGGTGGCTGAGTGGATAGCACTCTCGCCTCTCAGCAAGAAGGTCCTGGGTTCGAATCCCGGTCGGACCAGGGCCTTTCTGAGTGGAGTTTGCATGTTCTCCCCGTGTCTGCGTAGGTTTCCTCCGGGTGCTCCGGTTTCCCCTACCACTAAAAATATGTACAATAGGTCTGGCATGTGCCTCCTGTACTGGCGACCCCCACCCAACAATTGTAAACCGCTTTGAGACTCCGATGTGCAGTGAAAAGGCGGTATATAAATAAAAGCTTACTTACTAGCTTACTTACTTCTTGAAAATGTGCGAAATTTGTATATGTGGATGGTCAGGTTCAGGCAGCACCACAGTGGTATCCAACCAATGATGAATCTGGGCTCCAACAATTTGATTTCAAATTCTCTTTCCTGGAAGATTAAAATCTCAACACATTTCTAGATGAATAGTTTTTTTTTTTTTTTTTTTTAAATCTGTTTGATCCTACTAGTTGGCAAATCAGCAATTCGGTGACGGCCTTCGAGACGACTGCTTTTTGTTATTTTAGGTGATACAAAATACATTGTGTTGAATTAAATCGAAGGTTCTTTATGCATTGCACAGTTCACAGGACAACTCAAAATGGTCAACAAAACAGGAAAATAGACATAAAATCAAACAGGGCATTAATACATAATTAATCACAGTACATTAAAAAGAGTGAAGACACAATATTCAGTTGTATGCACAGCTAAACAGAACTCTTTTAACCTGGATTTGTACATTTTCAGAGTAGAAGCCTGTCTCACATCAGGAAGACTGTTCCTTATTTTAGCTGCATAAATCTAAAATGCTGCTTCGCCATGTTTAGTCCTGACTCTGGGCACCAGCAGGAGGCCAGTCCCGGTGCTCCTCAAAGTCCGAGTTGATTCATTTTGCTCTAACATGTCGCAGATGTACTTTTGGTGCGAGGCCATGGACAGACTTGTACACAAGCAGAGCTGCTTTAAAGTCTATTCTCTGAGCCACAGGATGCCAGTGCAGAGACCTGAGAACTGGACTAATGTGATTGCACTTCCTGGTTCTAGATCATTTTTACAGTGACTAAAATAGCTGTGGATATTATTTCCAATTTTCCAATTGCAATTCAAATAAAATAAAGTCCATCCAAAAACTCATCCATCTATCAATTTTGGGGCCGCAGTCTGAGCAGAGATACTCATGACGTTCTATTCATGCCCACTTCCTCCAGCTCAACCGGCAGAATCCTGATGCGTTCCCATGCCAGCTGAGAGACATCTCATGTGTCCTGGGTCTTCCCCCGGGGGCCTCCTCCCAGAGATAAATCAGCCATCAATAACTCAAGTTTCTAATCCATTTACTTGAACATGGAAAACCCCACAATGGTCATTATTTCTTACTATCTCCTATGCACCAATTTACCTACTATTCAAAGTTTTGACATTGGGTACATTTGCATTGATGCTGTGGCTGAAGTACATATTTAAAACTCTGTAGTATCACTCACCCCTGAAAAAAATCCTTTCAAGTCTTAAACATGGGGAATTATGTCTACACCTGGCTTCTATATTGAACATAATGGCAGTTTAAAAAGGGGGCACATGAAGGTCTCTATAATGCATTCTATTGAGCCTGCATAAAAACTCCCCTCGTTTCTATAATAACCATCACTAAACCCACCCAAAAAGGATGCGTCTGGCCTTTTGGATCTATCTGTCTCTTCTATAGAGATTCTCCAGTCCATCTCGGCCCTCCCTCCTTTGTGTGAGTAGTCTATGTAATAAATCCAGATCTGGTAAATAGCCCATGAATAAAGGGAGATTTTATCCTCTGTGGCATGGGGAAGATTTACTGAGCCAGGGCAGCGTCCCTTCTCTTCTCAACAACTCCAAAGTGGTCACTCAGCCAGCCTCGGGAGACATAAAAAGCCCGCAGTATAGTTCATTAAATGTGCAGCATGAAGATGGGATGCCGTCGCCATAGTGATTTACAACAGCCAGGTGCAGAGCAGAGAAGAGGTTGAACAGGGCTTGTCCGGAGCGGTGGATGAAGAGACATGATAATTACAGATAAGATGGTTGGGATTGTGTCCATAAAGGCAAATGTGTGTGGAATCAGTTGTTTGTATTCAGAAAGACAAGTGGGTCAGAACCTTAAAGGGGAGGGGTCACAGTTGAATGTCGTACATTTGGGAATTGAGGAATGGATCAAGAATGGATCGAGGCGCTTTGAGAGTATCACATCAACAAATGTACCATTATCTGGTTGTGGGGACTGTATTTTCTTTGGTTGCATCGCCTGCTAGTGTGCTTTTTTACTAGTTCTTTGTTCTCAAAGCAGTTTAGTTGTGTCACTGGTTGTGGTCTGATTTGTTCACAACTTATTTCATGTGATATACTTTCTGTTTCTGTTTTTAAGTAGTACCTACCCTTACTATGATATTGATTATTGAGATGAAGCAAAGAAGCTGTGAATGTACGCCAGTGAGGTAGTTTCTATAACTTGAACTATAGAATTGGGGATTCAATAAGTGTTTTATTGCTGACATACTCCATAAACGTATTCATACATGTGAGACATCTCCATGAAGGATCTTAGGTTGTTTTGTAAACGTTCAGTCTTTAAATAAACCTTACTTACTTACATAGATGTGCAAAGCTTGCAGAGTCATACCCCAAAAGAAGTTGTCTGCATACTAGTGCAGTGTGCATACAAAAAACAAAAAAGCGTTGAGTAATTTTTCTTTCACTTGATACGGCTGTGACATTGTTATGGTTAATAAAAAAGAAATTAAAAAACAGCATTGTTTGTGGTTGTTTATCTGAAAACATTTGCAAAGGTTTCATCTGCTTCTCCAGCTATCTCCTTTTAGAAAATTAAAAATCACTTTATTTTGTACGTTTTACTCTGGGGAAATCCTACAGTTGTATCACTGCAAAAGCTTCTTGTGTGCCCTTTCAAAAGTGTAACCCCGCTCAATGTCACCATCAACATACAAACTGCATGCTTCTCTCTCCTTCCAAGAACCACTTAGACTCTTCAGTGGGCCTTAATAAATTCATGGCTGTGAGCCAAGCAGAGGTGATCTCTGTGGTCACATCCTCAAAAGCCTCAACTTGCATGTTAGACGCAGTCCCGACATGGCTCTTCAAAGACATACTTCCTTTGATAATTGAGCCTATCGTAAATATAATAAACGCATCCATACAATGTGGCTATGTCCCACAAGCTTTTAAAACCGCGGTAATCAAACCCCTTCTGAAGAAAACAAACCTGGACCCAGAAATACTTACAAACTACAGACCGATCTCAAACCTCACTTTTATATCTAAAATCCTGGAAAAACTTATAGCTGAGCAGCTCCGCTGCCACCTGCAGGAAAATGATATGTTTGAAGTCTTTCAATCAGGATTCAGAGCTCATCATAGCACTGAAACGGCACTAGTCAAAGTCACAAATGACTTACTACTAGCTGCCGATAATGGACAAGTGTCAGTGCTGGTCCTACTGGACCTTAGTGCTGCATTTGACACAATAGACCACAGCATTCTACTGCAGAGGCTAGAATGTGATATAGGTCTTAGAGGAACAGCCCTTGGCTGGTTTAAATCCTATTTATCAGATCGATATCACTTCGTCAATGTGAATCAGGACTCGTCGCCTTATTCTGGAGTGGAATTCGGTGTGCCGCAGGGTTCGGTACTCGGACCGATTCTTTTTACTCTCTACATGCTGCCACTGGGAAACATTATTAAAAAGCATGGAATTAATTTCCACTGCTATGCAGATGACACACAGCTTTATCTGTCGATGAAGCCTAATCAGACAGATCAGCTAGAAAAGCTCAGTGCCTGCATAAAGGACCTTAAAATGTGGATGACTCTTAACTTCCTACTTCTCAACCCGGAGAAGACAGAAGTGATCCTACTCGGTCCGAAGCGCCTGCGTGACTCCCTCACTAACCAGATGGTTACTCTCGATAATGTCAGTATAATACCCAGTAACACTGTGAGGAATCTTGGAGTCATTTTTGACCAAGAACTCTCCTTCAAGGCTTATATAAGCCAAGCAACTAAAACGGCGTACTTCCACTTACGGAACATCGCTAAAATTAGGAATTTCCTTCCTAAAAGTGACGCGGAAAAACTCATTCACGCGTTTGTCACCTCAAGGCTCGACTACTGTAACGCTTTACTGGCAGCGTGCCCTAAAGCCTCTTTGAAGAGCTTCCAGCTCGTTCAGAATACAGCAGCTAGGATCTTAACAGGTACCAAAAGGAGGGAGCACATAACTCCGGTGTTAAAATCACTCCACTGGCTCCCTGTGGAGTACAGAATAAAGTTTAAAATCCTACTTTTAACATATAAAGCCATAAATGGCTTGGCTCCTTCTTATCTCCAAGACACGTGAGTGTCGTATCAACCAGGTCGAGCGTTGCGCTCACAAAACGCCAGACGTCTGGTGGTCCCTAAGGTCTCAAAGGTCACTGTTGGTGGCAGAGCATTTAGCTACCAAGCTCCTTTACTGTGGAATCAGCTTCCCATTTATGTTAAGGAAGCAGATACGGTCTCCACATTCAAGGCCAGGCTTAAAGCACTTTACTTTAATTTAGCATATAATTAGGTAATATATAATATGTAGTGTATATATTATATATATATGCTGTATTATGTTATATATTATGTTATATATTATTCAATAATGTATTGTGTTATGTTGTATATTATGTTATATATTATGCTGTATGTTATTCTTTATTCAAGGCTAGGTTTAAAACAGTCCTCTTTAGTTTAGCATATGGCTAGGAAGGTAAGACTCGGAGAAGGTTAAACTCCTCAGAGTGTTAGTCAAGCTGCATAGGGAGTCAGTTTGCTGGGAGAAGTATGGTAACTTGAGCACTATCCTCTCCTCCTTCCTACTTTATCTGTTTAGCATTTTTAGGATTCTGACTGTAGTTTGTTCATTGCTATTCACCCGTTGTCCCATTGTCTGTTTCATGGTACGATGACGGGATCTCTGAGCCTGGCCTCTTCCATCTACACCTGCGGACTGCCCCGCCCGACCTGCCTGGGAGTGCTTCAGTCCTGCACCGGACCTGTCCACGTTCAGCGTCCACTGGTCCACGTTCTGTAGCTAGCTTAGGTCCTGGATCATTAGTCTGTCCGTCCGGAGGAGCGGATCCCTTTCTCATATGGGTCTCCCTCCCTGTGGGTTTCCCTAGTTCTCCTCCAAGGTTTCTCACTTTTTCCCACTGGGTTTTTTAAGAGTTTTTCCTTGTCGATGCAGGAGGGTCTTGTTGGACAGTTAGTGTCCAACAGAAAGGATTGGTGATGATCAGGACACTTTAGCATTCTACAACATGTATGGACATTTTCTTCTGTGTGTGCTTTATACTGTATTCTTCATGTGTTTTAACTGTTGATTCTCTGACCTGTGTTGGTGATTTCAATGGTTTTGTTAAGTCCTCTGAGATGACTTCTGTTGTGACCTAGGGCTATACAAGAATAAATTGTAAATAAATTGTATGTACATGCACAAAAAGCTGATTTGTGTAAAGCCCTAAATCACAAAAGTAATCATCTTGGAGGATAATACAAAGTTAATGATTTGCCAACAAATGTCAAAGAATCAAATCGTTCAAACACAGGAAATGCAATTATATCAAACAGTTAGAAGCTAATAGTTCATAATGATCAATGTCCATAAATGTTAATTAATGTCCATAATTGTCTTTAAATGTTCTGGATCATCAGTACTTTCCGTACACCCTTCTGCATCAGCAAGGAAGAACTCAAAAACCCAGTGGAAAAAAGCTAAAAATAAGTGTTCAAAGTTTAAGATAGGTTTAAGATAAGCTATGCATTTTTGTCCATGTTGAGAAATTTGACGTTTGTGAATTCGAACCATCCTTCATTACCACTCCACACAAAAAACCCTGGGCCGAACTTGTGATCTTCTTGCTTTGAGACATGAGCTCTATGCTTTTGGTCACTGTACCGCTGAAAAGGATTCCCTCCACCAATATCATCCATACAAGAACATAATTTTCAAAAGTTGGCAATATAAATACATTCAGGTTTGTGACAGTTGAAACAATTTAACATAGTTTCTTTTTGTAATTTCAGAAATGCTGGCATTGATAACTTAGGAAATCAGATATGACAGAATCTAGAAAAAAATGTACCTTCTACTGACTGATTACAAAACTGGGTAATTCGGCAATATTTATAGAGAAATCTGAGAAAACCCATCTTAGCTATGTTGTAATGAAATAAACGTATCCCTCTTTATATATAATCAAAAATGTATTCCAGAGTAATGGTACAAACGTAACAAATGAAGGTCTTTCTCCTCCAAAAGACCTTCAGCCCTGGTTGCATGTAACCAAAATACCAGCCGAATCAACAGTAGCAGAGACAACAAGAGAAGACCCGTGAAGAGTCATAAAGGTCAGTAGAATGATCTACAGGCGCATGAGCGAATGAAAAACAGTGGTCTGATGGTCAGGACCTCCCTGTGCAGCCTTTATGGACCAACTGTATCCTCATGCGTACTATCACTCCCAAACGTACAATCCCGAACCGTGTGTAAATTTGCATTCACAAAGGTTACATTGAATGAACATTTTAGTCAATGTTGGTAGCGCTACAAATTACAGCAATGTTCACCCAAGTGATTTTGTTGCTGAGGATGGATTCACTTGTAACTCAGAAGCATCATCTCAGTATCATGTATATCTTTCACTTTGAAGCAGTGGGGTCGAAACATTTTAGCAAGAGGGGCCACTTTATAATACATTTTTAATAAAAGTTATCTTATCTTAGTTTACCAGACTTGTCCAGGGGTTGACAACCAAGATTGTTGACTGAGATTGTTGGCCCAGAGATGGAATTTTCTGACACAATCAAAAACACAAATCAGAATTCTAAAGGTCTTGAGCTTTGCCACAAGGTACAACATGTCTATATTGGCTTGGCTGAAGTTGGCTGGATGACACTGTGAACTTGTGTTTATAAACTCACAGACTACTTTAGGTTAGCAAGGCAGAGGGCCACATAACATGACACTGAGGGTCACAATTGGCCTTGCACATGCCAAGTATAAATGGAACAAAGTCAAAGTTCCACTTCTTCAATGGTAAATGGCCGTTGTGCTTTACTGTAAATTCTGTTTTTTTGGACCGTCGTGCAAACAAACCGCTTGAATGGAATCCTACCATGATCAGTTGACACGAGAAGAACTTGAATCCAAATTGAATTATAGCATTCTTAACTTAATAGCAGACATAGGTGCAGCGTGATTCTCTTAAGTCATAAAACTCGACCAATGTAACTGTCTCCAAAACTGCTTTAAGTTATAGCTCTTAACTATTGCAAATCGCATTTTTGCAAACATACTGAGAATGCCGTCTTCTCTCTTCTTGTTTTTTCTTGGGGAGGCACTATTGCTCTTGTCATGTACCGTAAAGCCATCCCAGAGGTGTTGGTCGGCCCCTGATTTGTGAGCTCCACTGTCTCTTTATCTGTCTCCTCTGCTCCCTTCTCTCAGCAGGCCCATCTTGCATAACCATCTATTTTCACCTTTTTTCCTCTCCCTGTTCCTCTTTCTGGACGCCTGAAAGGGTTTAATTACACACATAGACAACCCCTATAAACTTCTATTCTGAGGAAC